CATAGATCGAAGAGGCTAGTTTGGCGTGTCTCCGTATCACCTAGTTTATAACACCTTTCCATCACCCCATTTCAAAGCAGGCAATTTTCCGGTCGATTTACCAAAAAGCGTAGGCTCCCTCACGCCAGCCAGTCGGAAACAAAAAGGTAGCTACTCAACAGAACCTCATTGTGTATAATTAATTACTTGTAAACAAGGGCGATGATTTTACGAAAAGTAAATAGTAATTGGTGAAAGCGGGCCGGTTACAGTGTGGCAACAATGGTTCTTGATTTTATGCTTTTTTCTTGCCTGTTCCTTTGTTGGCTGGTGAACTGTTTGTTCCGTTCTTTTTATTTAATCACTTAGGGCGGGGATTGGGTTTTAATGGATCGACCTAATACGGTTGATGACCTTACATTTTCTTCGGTATAGTTAGAGACGTAACAAGGGTCCACTCCAGAGAACTTTTCAACGAGCTTTTACTTAGTTATATTTATTCATAGATATTATATAGACGTTCATAAGAAACTTACTTAGTATTTATAATAGGATAATTAGTTTTAGATTCTATTAAGTAATTTATTATACAGCCGCCAGGCATGTCTTTGCAGTTGTACTACTCACAATGTCTATGACAATCACAAAACATAAATCGGTTTTAATCAAATTCAAAGATTTTTTTCACACAAAATACATAGTGCATACAAAATTTAACTACATTTTGTATGTTTGAAAATTACAACACACACTTCGCAGTTATCAAAGATTGTCGTTAATTCTAGTCTCTCTAGTTATGTGATGTGTTATTGCAATCAAAGCCAAATTGAGCAGTAGCACGAATCGCTGTAGATGCGGGTTCAAGGGTTTTTTTTTCAAGTCACATTAAATTATTTCATAACAATATAAAGTTTAAACTGAGGTTCTGATGCCTAAAGAGCTCTGCTACTACTAATCAAATTTTGTACGGAAAATGATCAGAACTTATCACGCCACACTCTGTTAAAAATAATGTTAGGTATATACTGAACGCACATTCTTAAACCTAATGTCCCTATATACCCTACGTTTATTATTACATAAAAAAGTGTTCTAGAATAATCTTAAGGCCTGTGAATTCATCTTAATGTGATGAGCGTTCTAATGTGTCCTTTCCAAAGAAGTTGTCTGTACTTACTAATAATTTTCAAGTAAATCGATTGTATCAAGTAGTCGTCCATTTAATAAGATACTTAACTGTTTAAAACGCGAAAATTTTTATTTATTCGGTTGCTTTGCAGCAGTTGTGGTCGCTGGGGGGAGAACTCGCGTAAGCTACAGACAATAGGTACTTAATTATACGTCTTTTGAAAGAGATCCTTGCCACAATTCCTTTTCACACGACCCAGCAATGCAGCTACTCAGTGCTGGCGCCATTTTAATTACAGCAAAGGGCGTGGCCTTTATACTGCGAGTCAGCGTCTAACGATTAAGCAGACACGCCTCGCGTTTGACTATCGCGCCAAACGGGATTACGGGCAATTTTTTAATTAATTGAATTTTTTTGTACGTTTCCGTTTCGATAATGAGTAGTTATACTCGTAAACACATAAGTATATATTTTTTTAGAGCACTGAGTTGTAGATAAGTAATTTAATAAATATTAAAATAACTGCATTATAGTAGTAAGTGATAAACAGTTAAATCCAGTTTCTCCTCCTCCGTGTCACTGACGTTTGATTGAAGAAGCAGTGATCACACTTCTGTAATTTACCAGATCGAAACAATTTATTGTTTTCCCGGGATTAGAGCCCAGGACCTCTCGCGTTTTACGCAATTCTAAACATCATTTAATTTCAGAGGCGTACAGTAGCAGTTACTACGTACTATCAAATGTTTAAGTATAAACTCAAAAATAATGTAGAGAGGTAGTTAAATATTAAAAATGACGTATATTTCGGTCGACTTTTGTTTAAACTTCGCACATGGAATCGCGCCCATTCAGTACGAGATAACTTTTAAAGAATATTGTACGTAATTTCTTTTATTTAGAAATTCAATTGATTGAAATGGGATTCAAAGGGTTTGGTTATATATTATTAACTTTAAATTTATTTTCCCTTCACCCGTTCCTTTAAAAGTAGTTTATAGGAAACTCGAGAGTAACTTTATAACAATCATTCCCACTAATCATTTTCCATCCTTGTTCTCTAAATGGGCTTGTGGGAAAGAGGCCTGTTGTCTCTTTCCCACAATCCCATTTATTATCACAATAATAAAATAAAAAAAGACAGTGAAATTGTATATCTTTATTTGTATCTACATATAAACACGTGTACGATAATAATTATTACACCATTTAAGTCGAATGCATCACGAACATAGTCTATACAAGTCCCCCTTCCAGTCTTTGGCACGATCTCTTTGAAAAGACAAAGACTACTCTCCCAATACGATGCCTAAACTAATTTATACAAAGTACATCACAAGTATAATTTAAGAATCGCTTAAATTATGATTCACACAAAACATTTAAAGTAAAACATCTGAATACATTATACAACTAAAATCGTTTTCTTAAGCAAATGCATGTTGTAAGACAAAAAGCAAAGATATAATATTATGTTGAAAATAATGTATATAGCTTTAAATATTCAAAGGTTTATAATCCAAAAAGTTTGACAGCGGGTATACAAAGCAGCCCAAAAGTGATTTGGATCTAACAGTTGGAACAGCAGTGGTCACGTGACTTTAATCAAAAAAGAAAATGTCTCGCATAAACCACATAATGTCTTAGGAAAGAAACAAAATATCTAAGGAAAGAAAGTAACTAAATATGCCCATATCTTCTGTCTGTTAAGAGACTTTTTATTATCATCACAAAAATTTCTGAACAGCGCATATTTTTTATCTGAAAGTATCTTAATATGTAGAATACAATAATAAGAAATAAAAAACAGATCACATTTCTGAACATAAAAGGAAAATACATAAGATTACATTTAAATCACAAAGTTTCACATTATTTCCTTAACATTTAGAATTGACTATAATTAAATCGACGAAAAATCCTATAATTTAGACTATGAGTATTAAGATTTACCGAATCGGTGGTGATGAAAAAAACGAATTTATTATCGCGTGAGATATAAATATTTACATCGAATAAGTACATATTTCTTTATCATTTACGTAAAAGCTAACGTTAGTGCGTGTTATCATATAAATGACTAAAAACTATAATTTACTTGAATGCACAAAAATACGGATTCAAAGCAGTTAGAAATTTGTAGCGATAGAATTTTTTTTTCTTTCAAACGCTTCCTATTTAGTGATAAACAAATAATATATTATAATCGTACAAATAATGAAAGAAAATTATTAGAGTACGGCTTGCATCACATCACATTAGTGATATGCAATCTTTCTTACCTCTAACGCACCCTTTTAAGAAATATCCCCATCCTCCCACCCCCCCCCAAAATGAGTAACTATATAAAAAAATTATTCCAAAGGGTTGTGATTACACCCACAAGAGGGTGCTGTCGTCAATTTTGGAAAACACTGCAGTACATGGTCAATAGTGCTATTCTTTATGAAAAATGAAGACGAATCCTTACCTAGTACAAAACTTTAAGCTCACATACGATGTTCCCAAATGTATTGCCATAATTACTATCAAAGATTAAGGTGCTTTTAACTGTGGACTATAGTTATAATATAAACAATATTATACGTCTATATATATACGACACAAAATATATAAACATACTTGAGTATGTGAATCTACCAAAATGAAGGTAGTTCTAAATTAAACTACCGTCATGTTCAATTGTTTTTTTTCACCAATAATTATGGTGGCTTTTCATCTAATGTGTAGTATGAAGAATGGATAGTTTATCTACGTGTATGTATATTGGTACTTAATGTATTATGCTATAGTTTTGCACATTTTTTTATTACTGCTTTTACCATTTATAAGGCATCTACGTGAATTATCCAAATACAAATAACAATATTTGCATAACCTATGTAAATGGTCGAAAACACTACGATGAAATACGTGCCATTACAACAATCAAGTTTCAACAAGTATATGTCTAAAAGTACCGTCGGCAAAAAAGGTTTGATACATTTAGTTATTATAACGAAACGTTTCAGCATATGCGATAAAATATGCTGCATCACAGTAAGACTACTGTTGAAACCACACAAGATTTTCTCTGCCAACGGTACCTAAGCTTACAACATGTTGGTATCACAGTATTCTGATACGAAATATGGCCTAAAATTTACTACAAATGGAGGTTGAATTAATTTAGAATCGTGTGCGTCAATGCCTGCACCTAGTGCTGTTTTTACTACTAATTGAAAAAAATAAGGCTAATTATGACACATACGCTGATATACAGCTTTTAAAGTAACGTGAGTACGTATAATAAACTTAACTACATTTATAGTATTGTATGTGAATTTAATATTACTACAATATTGCTACAAGTAGGAAGTATCGTTAGTGGTAATTGTTCAAAATTTGGTTTAAATTGACTAGCTCTTCTCCTGAGTTGCCAGAGGAACACCTTTTACATAAGTAATTTTAAGTTTGTATAAGATAATTTGGAACAAATTTTGAGTATTATGAAATTAAATCTTCTCGAAAATACCAATCAATATTGAATAAAATTTTCAGCTAAGTACGATAAAAACTTAGCCTATAAGTTCTTATTGTGATGAGAATTGTGTCAACAGAAGTAACAGGTTCACTAATAACAAGAGATCTAGCTGAGTAACAAACTTATTTAGAACTCTCATTATTTCTATAAAAACAACCAGAAAAGCAATATAAATAACAGCCAACAAAGATCATCAGTCAAATACAGTTCCCGAAGAATCAAAGTGACATTTGACTGTTCAATGACGCGTACGTCAGCTGTCAAATTTTTGATAGTTGACATCTGTCATTATAGGATCGGTAAATAGGTTTCATATGAATGTAGGCCTCAAAGTATGAGACCGGACTCGGGGGCTAGGGTTAGTTTACGCTAGGTGGGGGGAGTGGCGATCGGTATCGAACTGGGTGACAGCGCCTCCTTGATGACGGAATGTCTTCTCACCAGCTCCGTGACGGTTATCGCTACTTGCACTGTTCCTTTACCCTCGAGAACATCAGCCGCACAGCACATCAGCTTCTATAACAAGTTTTTTATAAAATGATCTTCGTCTAGAACTTGCGTGTCTGAATATTTAACAAACATTGTGCATGATACTGTAATTTTAAATTTATTTTAACTAATTATTGAAAATAATCGAAGAGGTATGCCCACGCTTGCCACATAAATTAAAGCTATACATAAAATGGACACCAGTAACAGTTCGTTGTTAAAATATTACGTATAGGATTAAAATAAAACGAAATTATAAATGCATTAAGAAATTTAATTCGAGAAAAGAAAACAATAAGTACATACGTAAATTCCACTTTTACAGAAATATCAAAAACATAGTACATATACGAAAAATTATATCTTATAAATTCAACACAAATGCTTTCCACTGGAATATTAAATGTTTGCCGAATTAAATAATTCTGACATAATTGTACTAAAAACCTTAGTATATCAGTAAATATAAGTAGTAAAAACCTATTATACGTTTTGCCTTTAACACGCATAAAGCATTTCTTTTCAAACTATCAATCTATTTTCAGAGGGAACCCACAACGCTATGCCAGCGCGGTTTCACTGGCTAAACTACCGCCGTTGCAAGCGACGGTTTGACTTGCTTTTTAAAGCACAGGGTGACTTCCACCAGGTACTCAAAGTTTTCTTTAAAATATTCCAAATACCGAAGTTTCATTTTGCACGAGGAATCAACCCGGGACCTCGTGATTCGAAGTGCTCTAATTACTAGATCAACAAGGGAGTTTTAAGAAATATATATCATGAAAAAGGCAAAAAACGTTTCTAAGAAAGAAGAGGAAGTTCTACTTAAACCAGAAAGTCATTCAAACAAAAACCAATATCTTACATTTAACATAAATTATTTTAATAAACGTTATATTAATCTTTCTTAAAATACATAGTATATTAATTGTACTTGTATTTGTAAAGCTTAAATAATATAAAAATGACGCACAAACAAACGAAAGTTAGAAAATCATACTATCTCGCTCCGACAGAATATAAACAACAATGTTAGAGCAAGATGGCATATGTATTAATATTTATAGCAAAAGTGTTATACACAAAACGTTAGTAGTAATTTATACAAAAAACAATTCGAATGTAAGCGTTTTAAGAAAATCTAAAATCTATATTTAGTATACGATATAAATAAATTGACAGTCTTTATATAGCAGGTTATCTTTGGAATGCACGTTATTATGTAAATTCAAAAGCGATTATTTGCATATTGATAAGTCTTATTGATGAACCTGTTTTATTATAGAGGGTAGACCAGCAAGATTCATTTAATGGAAGGTGAAATAAACCCTTCCCATATAACATATTAACCATATGTGCTGTCTGCCTATTTTCGCTATGAATATTTGAAAATCCACAGACTAAAACCCAAACGCGATTAAACTTCACGGCCTATCTGTGGACGGTGGTTCGGGGCCTGAAGGCCAGTAATATCCAGACTTTGAAATGAAGGCCAACATGTTACACGAAATTTATAAATTGATTAGAAACATGATGGAACCGATTGGGTTTGAACCCACGGCCCGTTGATTATTATATTACATTGCTTCCTGTAATTAATCGGATTGATTGTTTTTACCGCATATGTGATTCGAGCAGTGTATTTCATTTTATGACTAATTGGAGGTAGTTTTGAATTAATATCCTGAAAATCGCATTTCCAAACATACGCAAATATTTAAATGCAGGCGAATTCGTAATTGATACTTGGCAACACCGATACATTGGCATGGTTAGTAATATTAGCTTATAATTTAAAACATGTCTTTTTAAATGCACGTATCCAATATGAAAAAGCCTCAAAACAGCCTAATTATCTACACTACTAAGAAAAAGCGTTTTACAGTCACTGAACAATCTTACACAAAAACAACAGAAAGTTATGCGCGTACGCACTTGAATTATAACTATTCTATACGCAAGACTGTAAAACGGCGTAACGCGACAAGCATTTACATAGATAACGATATGAATCCATTAAGGCAATAATTCTTATTTAATAAGAAACTTAGTTGTCTTAGTTCCTACATATATTTGTATATATAACATGTACTCTCAAATATGCACCAACAAGACCGTTTATTGTACTCGGGAAGATCAGGGGAAGGGAAACGAGATAGAAATGGTAATATGAAAAACTTGACGAAATCTACTCCATTAACTGTCTGAGAAAAATGTATAAAATCCTTACGAATTTAAGTCTTAGAAAGAGTGCGCTATCTTAACATTTAAACTTGTGTCCCATTATGTTTATTACCATTAAAATCGCATATCCTAATTACTAAGAATACCCTAGATTTACTTTTTGTAAAGTGCAATATTTATTTGTGTTACGTCAATTATACAATTCACAACAAATTCTATGAAGTATCTTAGTTTTTTCGGAACATCAAGAGGTTATATGTATTCAAATCATTTTGCATTTAGGAACTTGACAAATTGGCTTTGTGCAGTGAAGTGTATAATTGTAAAAAGTACATAATATATTGAATTAAGTGAACAAAACTTCACAGTTACAAAAAAAAAACCAAAATAATGAGATCCAATGAGAGAATATTCAATTCAAAAACTGAAGTAAATAATACAAACAACGAACACTTTAACAGTTAAAAATGCGAATTGTATTAGTTAAGTATCACCCGACGTTTCGGATGCTTTTGGTTTCGTCGGGTCGTGGATGAAAGAAGATAAGTTAACTAATATATTTGCATTTTAAACGGTTACTGTTTTATATAAATGTGTCGAAAATACTACATAAACAAAAAATCCAACAATAACAATCTAAAGAAAAGTTAATATTAATAATCACTCAGTTACATAAATTTTTAAAGAACAAAATCGTGTCGATATTCATGTAGTGCTGTAAGTATAATAATTTAAAATCGATATTGTATCAGAAATACCACAACCTAAAAGAAAAACTAAGAATATTTCTAATAAATTCCATGTCTACTCTGTATGTAGCCAAGAGCAATTGCTCTAATACTGAAAATCAAACGCAAACCCTCCTACTAATTTCCACACTCAGTCTCATCATTCTTTTGCAATAGCAGCCTCAATTTAACGGATCACAGTTTGACTGTCAGACAGTAAGGCAATTTTGTGACGATCGAATAGAGAAACTACCGACAATTTCTATGTGATGTTAGTTCATCTAACCAAGTCTAGATGACACTTTACATCTAGTTCATCAACGACTTAAAGCCTCATTTTTAAATTAAAAATGTTACAATACATTTTGTTGGGCACAGAACTTGTATTTACAAGTTTACCATAATATGTCGCGAGGCAATGATAAATTAAATAATTTTGTGTTACTTGCGGTATCTAACAAAAGAACAGTTAACAATAAATATAGTAATCATTAAATGGCAAAATGCAGCAGTGATCTGACACAAACAGATATCATAGACTTGGTAGTCCTTCGTTTCAAATTCCACATTTACAGAGGGTATACGATGAGGACAATAGTAGATATGATAAAACTGCCAATACACAGTACGGTAAAGAACAGACGATTCTCGAACTCTTTGACCGTTTCAACGGAGGCGTTCAAATTATCGGCTATATCTAGGTTCATCTTCTGCCTGTCATATCTCTCTAGGTTTTCGCGGGGATCAATCGGAAAGTCCACTTCATCAGTGTCCAGAATCTCATAAGTCTCTCCTTTAAGAATACCATCCGCTTTGAAGGGTGTGACAAACTGTATCCTATTGTAGTACGGCCCTCTGGACCTCAACTCGTTCGCGTAAAACTCCTCCTCCGTTCCGTCTTCGTCGTTCTCGTCGAAGGCGTCACACGAGTTAAAGTTAGCGATGTACCTGTCCTCATTGTATCTGCCGCGGCGTTCGTAATTCACTTCGATCGATTCCGCGATATCCGTAGAATCGTACGATCGATTAATCGATTCATTAGGCGAGCTTCGATGGGCGTGTTCCAGGAGCGAGGTGATTGTGCACGTTAGAGGCAGTACCGAATGCTCGCCCATGGCCAGGTCTGGATGGTGGCACAGTATGTCCTCTGGCGAGCAGATCGCGTCCTGGAACACACGCCACCCGTCTTTTAGTTTTTTAAATATTGGGTCGCTCGCGTAATATGCGGCCCTGCAACATTCGAAACGGTGCGCGCGCGGCGGGTACGGTTTACATTTTTTATAAAATCACACTTAACAGATATTATTAAAAAAACATGACTATTTAAATAGAAGGGCTCACAGTAGAGGAGGATGTGCGGTGATAATGACTTTAATGGGTGATAATAATCCTTACTTAAAGGGTTTCTAAACAAAAGATAAGGTAGAAAGTAAGTAGAATAGGCACTCACCTCCTCTACGCCAATCTTTCGACAAGCCTCCAGAAAATTGTCCACGTTCCTTCTACACCTCGCCATTGTTAATTTGGGCTGAAAGTATGAAATACTTATTTAACTTATGTATTGATGAACTATTAGTAAAAATTATTTTATCCAAAACATTATCCGGCTTGAAGGACTAGAAACGTGGTAGCGCACCTGTGCGGGCGAGGGTACGTGCACCGATGCGACGGAACGCGGCCGCAATTGATTGGCGAGATGACATAATACCACGCCATCCGCTAAAACTGGCGCCAACTGTTCTGGTAGCGACATTTTTAGTCGGCTTTCAATTATCTGTGAAATAACAAGATACATACTTAAGGTCACAGTTCCCAGGTATAATATTAAAAAACATTTTTTTTTTTGTTAAAAAGAAACAGTCATATATAAAATAATAGAATTGCTTAAAACCTTAAAACAAATATACCTAAAATAGTTTTATATATACTTGACGCAAATATAACAAATGTATAACACACTACATAAGAAATATCTGAGGAAAAAAAATAGAAAGTAATATCAATAATGTAGAAAAATTTAAAATCCAGATCTTTACTTTGATTGTATAAAACGTTAGTTAAATACACACGTAATAAATAAAGTCCACTTTGTTTATTTCTCTATATATTTTTAACTTAATACAGCAACTAAAGATAATGAGAAATCAGCTCAGTTGTGTATATATAGTGATAGTTAGAAGTCTTTAGTAGGTCTAATGACTTTTACTTACCGATCTCAACTGATGCAGCAGATCCAACTCTTCCTTTTGCTTATCAAATTCCCTCTTCATCGTGAAACTGAGCTTATCTGGCACCGCGTTATTCCACGCCATCTTACTCGGTGCTTTGGCCCCACCTTTCAAATACGACACCGATGTTGTTAACAGTTTCGCATCGCCGTTTTGACGCGGCAGAGTTGATTTATAGCCTAACGTATTTGTTGGGGATTTGGTGGGTGATGTTGGTTTTGAGTAAACTGCGTCGCCGTTTACGCGCGCGTAATCTACGTTCACGTTGACCGGGGTGAAGGTCTTTGTCACGTTACGCGATGGCACCACCTTCTGCACGGGCCGCTTGTTCTCTTCAATTTTTTCACCGCCATTTTGGAACCTGCGCGGCGTGGAGTGGAGTAGGGGGGGATGTTGGCACGTTGGAAGTGTTTGGGGAAATGGAAGAGTTTGCAGAGATTGATCTATTGTACGATACGTTACTGTATCCGTTCACGGGCGAGTTGGATTTTTGGAAGTGCACGGGGCTTTGGTTCTGGGATTGCGGGGAGGAGTCTAGTTCGGGCGAGGGCTGGTCGGTGCGGGGACGGTACACGTCCTGCTGCCGTTGCTGTCTTAGTGCTTCTTTGTACTGTCTGTAAATTATGACCAATAATTAACTTTAGAATTTCTCAATATCAGTGTAATATTGACTGCAGTGGGTAAGCGCACCAAGGGAGTTTATTTCATGCGTATATGATAAACAATTGACGTTCAATATTTCCGTCGCCCTTTGAACTGCACTAGAAGCGAAGCACATTTAAGAAGCCATACAGCGTAGAACGATATGTAAAGTGTTCATGTTTGTGATAAGATAGTTTTAATCAATATGTGTGAAGTATTTCTGTCGAAGTCCATTATCAATTCCAGATCAGTCGATCCAAGTATAAAAAGTGAAACTCCTGACTCTTACTTTTTTATTATTATTACTAACTTTAATATTATTGTTTATATGTTACAGCGCGTCAAATGTTTCACTTAAAACATAGCAACGCAAGTTTTAGCACATCTGCATCTTACATATAGATTAGACCAAATTAGTATATCATGCAACAGATAGGAACAACATATAACATATAGTATTGATGTAATATACAGTGCTGTATGTCAGTGTGGGCGCGGTGCGCATGAGTTGTACCTGTACGTCTGTTGATGTGCTAATTTACTCTTATCCTCGCCGTTCCCTTCGGGTGATATACGGATGCTGAAAGGGACAACACCGGGGTTAATATAGGGGGATGAATGTACAGTAGTCTCGCGTACAACGCCTTCTAGTTCTTTGTTTTACCTAGTCAATTTAGCCTAACCCGATAAACGTATATTCCATTTTTAATTAAATTTATGGGGTGTTGATAAACTTGAGACCCACATAACAACCATTGTACCGCTATTTTAAGCCTTTGTATAGTTGAAACGGCTTCTCTCATTATGAAACAGATGGCGCCACTTCGGCTTGACATCAACCATATTTAATTCCTATGACCACGGCTGCTGAAAAGCCTCCGAAAAGATGGATCGCGGTTTGAATAATAGTTAACAATCGAGTTTAACACCGTTAAAATTAATGTAAATAAATTCTTACGTGAGTATTAGAACTAGACATAAATAATGTACTTAATAAAACTATAATTATACATATAGCAACCGGTCGTTTTGTACGTGATTCTACTGAAAGAGAATGATAGGAGAATGATCATGACCAGGTACGATGGTAACTCACTGTTTACCTCTGCTCCCGTCAAGGGTAGAAAAATAAAAATAACCATAATAAGCTATTGAATGTTAAACACTCCATACCTAAAATATACATAACACCTATTATGTTGTAAAAATAAGAAAATCTACAAATAATACATCAGATACAAAATATACAGTAAATTATAGACTAATGCAAGTTTTCCCTATATCCCTTAGTACATTTGAAACCACAATAAACATATCTGGTTTATACTGAATTTCCTCGGTTGTGGTTAGAGCAATTATTTTACATAACTCATTAAACAATACACAAGGATACGTAGGATTTAGCAGTATATATTATATACTGCGTATAAAACCGTTAAAGGACAAAATACAAAGATTTTTCCTAAAGGCTCTGGCTCACTGTAATAAGTTACATGGCTTTTACAATTGGCTACGACTACCTCCGATTGTTAGTGTTAATTTAAAAATACGGTAAAATATAATTATATACAAAGATACAACTTTTTTTCAATATTTAATCGCCATCATATGCTCTAAAATGTTAGTAATGAGTTTTTGTTGTTCTGATATACTTAGTACTTTTCCATTTCATCCATATCAATATCATAATTATGATAGTATACTATAAAAATTTACTGGAATAATGGGGGGGCCTGTCCACAGTGGACGCTGAACGGCTTCGACTTAAAAATGGCTTCCCACTTTCTTTTTTCTACAACTATTAAAAATCCACTCACCCTGTCAGAATAGGAGTCAGCGGGGCTAAAGGAGATTCGCTAGAGAGAGACTGCGCCCTAGATAGGGCTGCGCCCGGTGATAACGTGGAGGGAGTGCTAGGTGTAGACCGGCCTGATCCACCGCCGCCTTCGCCACCAGCTAAAACAGATGGTAAAAGACTCTAGTAAGTATATGTTGTAGAATATTCTAATTAATCTCGTTCGTGAGTTGAACCCTTGGGAATCGTCCCAGTGGGTTCTTGCATGGAAAATCTGCATATTATAAGGCGGCGAGGGTGATAGAAGTTTGGAAAAAAGCCAAGTATAGGTTGACCGCGCATCTTGTTTAGATGTAATTAACTTTTTCGTAGTTGGCCTACAATATTTGTTATACTATACAATTTACTATTTCGAATATTACATCACAGCCCGGATAGCTCAGTCGGTAGAGCATTGGACTTTTAATCCAAGGGTCCAGGGTTCAAGTCCCTGTTCGGGCGAATATTTTTACTTTTTTTTTCTACATGAAGCATTAAATTTATTTTTTGTGATGGAACTTAATTTTATATTTATAAATAAGGGATAGTGTAGGTCATCCCAGTTACAGTATGTATTTGTAATAAATTAATAAATATACATAATAATGTTTCATATAGATAATCTTAAAGTTAAATATTTTCGAATAAACTTTTACTATTAATTTTACTTACTTGTAGCCATAATATATAAACATTGATAACGTAACACAACTTAATAACTTAAAATCTGTCTGTTCCGTGTAACTAAAATATGTTAAGCTTTTAAGCCTTTATATATTAATTTTTGCTTTCCTTCCTTGGACCTTCAGTAGCCCATAAAAGGTCCTGGTTAAACTTGGGAAGTCACAAATAAGCCTAATTAACTACTATCCTGTAAATTAAATTGATCAGTGAAATGGGCAAGTTTCCCCAGTGCCCTCACACTCCGCACTCCTGACAAAGATTTGTGGGATTATTATTTAATTTCTTTACCATCATTGGACCATCGCTTATCAACGCCATCTGTGCTGTAGCCGCTGTCAACGACGTGGCGGGGCTTGTGTCTTAGGCAGTCTATAGTCGCGTTGCCAGACGTGATCTGCCCCTGTCCTGGCGAATTGAACGACGTGTGTTTTGTGCCACGACGCGTTTCCTCCACTCGTCTGTGAGTGAGCGAGTCTTTATTTGCCATGTTGTCCAAGTACTTGAATATGTGTACGCGTCCGCGCATGCAAATCTGAAAAAAAGGGATAAATACGAGTAAATTATACTATGTCTGTATGTTTTTAACGAGACCTCATTTGGCTTCATAATAAAACCCCAATAGATACGTAAGGCTGGTATTTTTGAAAAATTCAAAAGAAAGGACGCTTCACAGTTTATCTTTTTTTAGAGTTGTAGTTGTAAACTTAACCCTCATTCGATTTTGGTATAAGTACAAAACCATTGTTACTAATAATCTTGTGGTTAGTGATTCAAGACGTACTTTCGCCACTACATTTTTCATACAAAGTCTAAAAAAAATAATATTTGAGACACATATTGAACTGAATGGGAATCGAACCTAGGGCTCGGCGTGCTAAGCCCTGTTGTCCCTGTTATTTCAATTACTTTTAATGCCTGTCACTGTTTTTCACGGTCTAGTTGTGTAACTAATTAAAGAAGTGTCTGTACTCTACCTTCTATTCCTTATTATGTTACTGTAATGTTTATTTTAGTTTTCTGTAATCTTAAATAAATATTATTTTACTTACAGTAGTAGGCGGTGAGACTAAGGGGTTGTTGTCCAGGTTCAATGTGATGATAGTAGACATATTACGAAGCTCCAAAGGCAACGACGATATACAATTGCAGCTTACATCTAGGTGTTCCAGGCGGAGGTATGTGATTTCTGAAACACATTAATTGAAATGTACATAACGAATTAATTATTTATTGATGCATTATAAGAAAACCGGAAACTTAGTTCCTCTTAATAACGGATGTGGGCTGCGTCAATTTACTTTACATCAGGTAAAGTGATTTATAAAAAACTTTATGAAATCACCAAAAACCTTAAAGAAATTATACGAATTTTAAGGAAGGTATTTGTGATAAAAGTTAATATTTGCTCTAATTCAGCTACATGCCTTTATTAAAAAAAGACGATGTTCTTTTGTTTATTTTTGGGTAGTGAGTGTTCCCCCTTAAAAGCTGTGTGGAAATCCAACTTACGTAATGGCAAAAGTCCTAGCTGATTATTGCTCAAGTTGAGGCACCGCAGACCAGTGCAGTCTCCAAGGGTCATAGGTACTTGTGTGAGCCTATTGTTCGACGCGTCCAGCTCAGCCAGTGTCGTCATCTTCCCGATCTCCTTTGGCAGACTGAGAAGCATGTTGTCTTGCAGAAGTAGGACTTGCAGCGGCATCTGACATACTTCTCGCGGTAGCTCTGTGAGCTGATTTGAACTGAAATGATAAATTACCGAGGTAAATTTTTAACATTCATTCAACCATCATAAAATGTATCTATATATTTTAATCTCTTATTACAACACACTTTAGCGTATGGCTCTTTCATAGAAGGAATAAGCTCAGACCTAATACGGTGTTTATTGTCACTAAAATAAAATACTATAAAGGTCCAAAAATGTTACAAAACAGGCAATTATTATATGAGCCCGCTAGAGGCAGAGTAGCCAAACTGCAATTTTATGACTCGAGTTATATATATTTTCATAGTTTTAAATGTTTCAACTGAAAATGTTCAACATAATTCTTACACAAATAATAGTAAAATTCATTTTCGCCTAAGTTAATTGCATTTTTATTTTAAATCTTATTGGAATTCAAGTTTTTTGTTATTAGGCCACTCTGCCTCTAGCATCCTCATATTATATAATCTGGTCCGGTATTTAACTCTTTACCTACAGTTAAATTATCGAGCTCATTAGACGCCTTATAGGCCTAAATGGTTGTCGGATAAAATAGAGAATTGAATAGCGTATAAAACTCTCAACAACTCTTTCAGCGTGCATCTTGTACTTGTTGTAACGCCTATAAAACCGATGATAACATAAATACATGCACCTCATCACCACCACAAGCTATTTATAGTCCAGTCCTAGCACCTACTTTGAGATTGCGTGTTATGAGATCGAACGGAGCGTAAATCGTTCCACGCTTCGGCTAACGCCTCAGGGCTGTCACGTGTAAAAAACAAATATAATCAATTTTAAAGTATAGTAAAAGCACTAGCCTAACACCACTGTTGTAGATTATTTATCATTTATTTAATTATTTACGCAATAATCACAGAATGGCTTAAACTATCTAATACTACTGTAATGTCAACATAGTTACAAATTAAATACCCAAAAGTATGCAAAAAATAAATAAATTTGTGACAGCCCTACTATAACAACAGCACTCTAAGGAATATAATACAAACAAGTTAACCACGGTTCTAAAATATAACTTAATTCCATTAACAAACGTAAGTACAGAAAATATATTTACCGATACATAGTAAATGGAGACGAAGAAGAAGACGTGTGCAAACTACAGGGGAATTGCAATGCTGTCTACCGCTTACAAAGTTCTATCCTACGTATTGCTAGACAAACTTGAACCATACGCGGAAAGAATCGTCGGTGATTATCAGTGTGGGTTCCGACGCAACCGTAGCACAATAGACCAAGTATTCCTCCTAAAGCAGCTGATGGAGAAGAAGTGGGAATACTCGCAGAGCATACACTCCCTGTTTGTGGATTTTAGCAAAGCATACGATAGCATAGATAGAGACTCTTTGTACGTTATTTTGAGCAACTTCGGGATCCCGCAAAAACTAGTTTCCCTGGTTAAGGTCGCAACCGAGAGCAGCAGAATGCGTGTTAGAGTAGGAAGCGGACTATCAGAAGAATTCGTGGTGAAGACCGGCTTAAGACAAGGAGACGCGCTATCCCCAATGCTGTTCAACTTGGCACTAGAACACGTAATTCAGAATGTTTTGGCGCTGGATGTGGGTGTAAGGCTAAATGGACAGCATAGGGTAGTTGGATACGCCGATGATTTGGCTCTTCTAGGCCAAACAAAGAACGAGGTGCAATGTCTGGCGAGAACCTTGATCTCCGAAGCAGCTGGAATTGGTCTGAGAATAAACCGAGAGAAAACGGAATACCTCCACATGAAACGCTATAAGGACAAAAGAAAGGCACTTGAGGACCTACATGTGGACGGTATCGCATTCAGGGGTACCAGTAAATTCAAGTACCTCGGCTGCACAATAACGGACACGAACTCAAGGGAAGAGGAAATAAATATCCGGATCCAAAACGCCCTCCGTTGTTGCGCGGCCCTCCATAAGGTGTTAACGTCCAAACTACTTACCCGGAAAACCAAAATCCGAATCTACAAGACCGTCATCCGTCCTATTCTACTGTACGGATGCGAGACATGGACGTTGACGCTTAAGGAAGAGGAAAAAGTTACTGGTGGCTGAAAGGAGGATTTTGCGGAAGATTCTTGGCCCGACACAAAGGGAGGATGGAAGCTGGAGAATCAGGAAAAACGAGGAGATCGAAAACCTCGTAAACGAACCCAATATAATGGGGGAAGCTAAATCCCAAAAACTCCGCTGGGCTGGCCATTTGGAGAGAATGGGAGATGATCGGAGTGTCAAGAAAGCGTATATCGGAATTCCAACGGGCCGCCGACCTGTCGGCCGGCCAAGATATCGCTGGAAGGACGCCGTGGAGAAGGACCTGCGCGAGCTCGGTGTAGCCGAATGGCGAACAGCCGCACAGGATCGGCAAAAATGGCGCTCTTTAGTTTCGGAGGCCAAGACTCACTTTGGGTCCTGCGCAGCGGAGTAAGTAAGTATACATAGTAAATAAGCACTTATCAGTGTAACGGTGTGGGATATAGTACAGTTTACAAAATGGTAAGTAACCCAATTTGTAAGCATACATAAATATATAAAATAGCTTTCCTGTTGTCGGTCGGTATGTTAATTGAGGAATAACATAAAAGTGCTTTTACAGAATATACGCATAAACAAACGTGTATACTCAAAGGACGAAAAGGTTTGTATACAGCTTTTAGGAAGATAAAATATATCTATCTATGTTATTGTGGACATTATAGTGATGTTTGTTTTAGAATTGGCATGCAGAAAATAATAAGCTGTATTTTTGGTAGATTTATATATGTACTAATACATATATAAATCTACCAATAATAAATATAGTTTTTAAAACGACGGAATGATTTAGTAAGTTATTCCGTGGTTGGAAAGCCACGAATTTGTATTTGTATTTGATCGTTGTAGTTAAAAAGTCGTTTTAATCAGTTAAAAACATTTTACTTGCTAAAGTTATGAGATTAAATGTTTAACCAATCCTTTCTGACGCTTCTGCAGGACATATAAAAATGTCAAGCGAGATTTTTCTCACCTAAACTAATATACTTAAGCTGAAGTGTTTATTTTTTTGTCTGTATGTTTGAACGCGCTCTCGGGAACTAGCGTTCGAATTGAAACATTATTTTTGTGTTGGTTAGAGCATTTATTGAGTGTTGAGTTGATTGAGTATTACTGTGACTAACACAAGCAAAGATAAATTATTAATAATTATGGGTTTCTGACGCAAAAACGGTTCAAGATACCCAAAAAAATATGTATTAATAATGATTCATCTTTAAATGATCTAAAAAAAGTCTTTCTTTTAAGATTACCTGACAAACCCGACGTTAAGGGACGCGACCGACGTCGTGACTAACAGCTTAAGTTTTTAAAGCTAAAAGGGTTTGCCAAAACGTTTATATGCCCAAAATAACTATTCTACGCGGACGAAGTCGCTGACACAGGTAATATATATATCGAAGTAACTTCATATTTCCTCACAATATGAATAGACACTTTTAAGAAACCAAAGTTACGTATTCGTCCTCGTTGTTATAATAGTTCACATTCACATCTTATGCAAATTAACATCGGTTCAAAAGAACTCGGCTAACCACGTTTCGATGTGCAAGTTCAAGCTGCGTTCTTGCATAATGCTAGAAGCCGTATAATTCAGTGCACATGTTATCACGTTAAACATCTCACCGAGTAAAGGTCGGCGTACACTGAACGCATCCTCTCACCTTGACCAATCCAAATGATTGAGCAACATTTTAACAAAAGAAACGTCATTTTACGGACTCGTTGGTTTAATGCTAGCAATATATGGCTAATAATCGTGGGATCGAACCCTATCTGGATTCAACATGTTTCAAATCAATTTCAAATTTTCCTGAAACATATTGGACTTTATCTGGATATCGGGCAACCGCGGTCACGGGTTGTTTTTTAATGTCAAAGTAAATACTACTACGCTAGCTCCATTTGATCCATCGTAGTTGGTATCTAATGAAACTGGCCGGCTCCTTATGAAATCGACTAACGGAAAAGGACCCGGCCAGTTTTCTTTAATAGTAATAGTTGGGCTTTAGTAATTCGGAAGTTTCAGAGACCCACGACCCTAACTTGACACATCCCTATAAGGTATAAAGTGTAGAATGTATCTAAAAAGGAAACATTCACATCCACACATCCGTGACGAGAAGCAATCGGAATTGTAACATGATCTTGATAATCAATTTTGTAATTTGCTCTGCGCGTAATCGGAGTCATTAAAGAGATATCGAATTTGAAGTAATTTTGTCATTATGTACTGTTAATGGACTGGTATTTAAGAGATCTTTTAATAGTTACAAATAGATACTGTCACTTAAACAGGATGATTCACTGAAGAGTTAAACTATTAAATTTTGTAACACCAAGTATTTTGGTTTTGTTTTGTTCATGAAAGCCCATTTTATGTACGAAGAGATAGTTGTGATTTGTTGCTTTAGCTATGAAAACATATAAATTTCTAACCAGCACTTTGTGTAACAACCATCTAAGTTGTGAAATGGTTAAGGGCGAGAGGTCCTGGGTTCGAATCTAGGTGAAACAATAAACTGTTTTGGATTGGCAAGGCAATGTATGATCAACTACTTGCCCTTAAATGAAATCGATCTATAAATAGGGCAGACAATTTCGTCAAAGTATAGTATTGAGGTAATTTCCTTTTTTATTTTGTGATGAGTTACAGATGCTGTTATGTAATTTGTTCAAAATCTTTATTTAATGGAGTCATCAGCGTTGGAAATACTATTGTGTGTGCTCACTCTGCTGAGAATTTCTGCTCTAGATAGCTAATTAACGCGAATAAAGGAGCCTGCTAGGGAACGATGCGTTTTTGCATTTTTATGAAGATTTTAGTTTGAAAGTAAATGTTAAGTGAAGTTATGGTTCACTGAATGGAATTAAATATTCTATGACATCTAATTCATATGTGCTATCGACGTGATTATGAACAGAAAGAGGATTTACACTTCACTCTGA